GTGGGCGGGGTAGGGAGGGGGTGTGGGGCGTGGGCCTAGGAGACCCGGGTTAGGGTTGGGGTAGGGTGAGTTCCAGGTATTGTTGGCATCGTGAGGTTGTCGTTGCCTTGAGCCGTTTTGATGTCCGCGACCTCGACCCCGATTTCCGCCGCCACGTCCTTGTCCTCGTCCGTAGCCTCCACGCTGTCCGGGGTTGCCTTCACCGTAGATGGAGCCGCCATGCTGTCCGCCATAGCTGCCGGGAGTACCGCCGTGAGTGCCGCCGGTGCGGTTGGTGAGTAGGGCCGTGGAGCCCGAGTCGGCCAAGGTGGTCCGTTGCTGATCCAGGAGCATGAGAGCTGAGCGGACTTGCAGGAATGTCGGCATGGGATCTTGAAATTGCATGAAGGACGTTTGGGACTGAAGGTCCGCAGGAAGCCCCCGAAGCATTTGGAGAACAAGCTGGTGTTGAGAGACAGGAGCATCAACATCATCGAGCCAATCCGCGAGATTCTGAAGCTGTTGGCAATATGCTGCCATGGTAGAGTTTCCCTTGATGGTAGTACGGAATTCATGCTCTAGTTGCATGGCACGAGCATGTTTGTTGTCATGGAACAAGTTGTGGATGACCTTCCAGAGGGCAGAGGCGGTGGAAACAGAAGAGATGACCAGATCTGAGACTTCATCGGTGATGGTGGAGAGGATCCAACCCTAGAGAAGAGCGTCGAGTTGGAACCATTCGTCGTCGTCGTCAGAGAGGGGGACGACGGAACCGTCGATGTAGCCCTGAAGATTGAATCGCCTGACTAAGAGGAGGAACAAACGACTCCACTTCTTGTAATTAGGTTGAGAGAGACTGAGTTGAACAGGAACGTGAAGTTTCACGTTGGAGACAGTTGTGAAAGCAAGATGTGGGGGTTTGGAGGAGAGATTTTGAGAGGTGACCTCGCTAACTTCGGCCATGGTAAGGGAAAGAGAAAGAGGAGGATGCCGGTTGGGAGGTAGGCCGGCGTCGCCGCTGGTTTGGCAGCCGCAGGAAAAGACGGCGCAAGGAGGAGGAGAGGGGGATTAGGGTTTTGTGTTTTAAGGCTCTGATACCATCTAGAAAGATTATTTTCCTTGATTGAATATGTGGGAGTACATGTCTATATATACAAAAGGATTCCTAATCCTATACAAGGTAGGAAACAATAATAGGAAACAATATATTTACATTAAATATAGAATATATATTTAACATGTTTGAACGTATTGCATTATTGCTTCATACGCTGCACGTTGTTCATCATTCAGTGAACGCAATAGTCTGGGAATTGTTGTTGCTAAATAAAAGGATAGGATGCATGACTTAGGCGTTGATTCATGGATTAATGTGCTTGATAATGTTTAAAATGTTAATATGAACCAATTGGTGTTTGTTATGAGATTATTGTTAGTTGGATGTTGAAAAACGAAACAGGTGCACATATGGAAATTGTTGTGTCAGACAGTAGGCGGTACCGCCGGGACGGTACCGTGCTACCGTCACACTCTGTTGGTTGCTTTCGCCTCTGCCGGTAGCTGCAACCGTTCGATACTGATATGCACATATTTTATATACTTTTTAGGTATATTTTGAAGGAGTTTTGAGTCCCAATTGAATTTAATGTTTATATTTTATTTCAATTTTCTGTTTTATTTTGGAGAGCAGTCCTATGCTTGGTTTTATATGTTTTGTAGGTATTTTGAGGCCATTTGGACGCATTGAGAACAATTTCAAGAACGGAAAATAAACATGGAAATTTGGGACCAAAATAAATGGAAGAGATTTGAAGAAATGAAAGAAATAAATTTAAAAATGAAAAGAATGGAGCTGGGTTTCGAACTCTGGACTTGAGGGTGTTGGAAATGGAGCTTTGACCGCTTTGACCATTGCTCCACAACTGATTGTTCGGCATATCACTGGCGGACAACGATTATGTTCTCGCTTTGAATCGGCCCATGAATTGAGAGAGAAAAATGACAAAACAGTGAACGGTAGGAAGCTTCGAACACAGGTTACTCTCTCTATTTCGAAATTCTATTCCTCCCTCACTAATATCTCACTACTTTCTTTATCCAAACACATAAAAATTATTCCATTTTCATCATCATTTATCATATTTGGAGCTCAAGAACACACCTTCCATTTTGTAAGATTTTTATGTTTGTAATAAATATTTATTTGTTTAAGCTTCAAACTATGAACTTCTAAATTCCATTGGTGTTAGAAGTTGGTGTAATTAATTGTCCATCTTAAAGTTTTAAATATTTTTAACATGGATTGTTAATTTTATTTTTACTTAGATGTTGTATTTAAAAATAATTAAATTTGGAATGTTTGTGATTTATAATTAAGGGCCCAATCATAAACATAATTGTTACAAGGAATATGAGCTAAAATTGATATAATCATAAAATAGAACACTTTTTAATTACACTGTAAGCCTTCTCTACCTTTAACTGGGATTGAAGATTTTCGGGTGGACATAATTATTGAGTTGTATTTTTACACCATTAAATTAGGTAAACATACAATAAAATACTTATGTTTGCCGTTGTTACTAAATAATTACTCCGGATTTATCATTAGCGTGTTAAAGTCGGAGTAGTTATTATTTAGGTGAACTGCGAGAGCGTCCCTAAATACTTTTCTGCAACCCCACACATTCTATATAAAAATAAATTGACAATCCAACTTTTATAAAAACATTGGACAATTAATTTACCAATTTCTACCCCTAACTTTTCATCATCAAAAACTTTGTGTTGTTTGGAACTCTCTCTTTTTACACTTTTTATTTTATCTCTAAAACCAAAAAGACCAAAAATATTTTACAACTTCTTTTGTAAACTTTTGTTTAAATTAAATTAACTCGCGTCTCCCTGAGGTTCGACACCTTACTTACAAGGGATTCTTTTTACTTGTTATTTTTGCCCGTTCTATACTACAAATCAGATACCTAGGTACCGGACGGACGATAGGCCCTACCACCTGGTCTGTAGTCGGCTACCATGGTGATCTTACCGGAAGGTTTCATTTGATTCGAACGACTCCATGTGAGCATGACGGTAAGCATGTGCCTTCAGTTCTGATAGGCCGCTATTTGATATGTTGGTGAATAATGAATTGAGATTTGAACTAAATTAATCTTATTGGTGATTGTTGTGAATTGTGAATAATATTGGAAATAACCCACCTAGTATATAATTAGGCAGACCTGAATTGGATTGACTGATTGGATCACCAATAGGCTAAGACTAGAGTTTAGGCCATTGCGGGGCGTCGTCGCACACCCGGTGTGATAAATTTAGGATTGAGTGTGGATAACTGGATTGGGTAACAAGACACTCGGGTTGAACCACATTAAAAGATTGAATCCAATCGATTAGTTAGTTCAACTCAAGGGCTTATATACCGGTTTATTTTCTCTTCAAGTTCCGATGTGGGATACTCTTTAACACTCCCCCTCAAGTGGACAACCGGGCCATTTTGAATCTAACCGGTTGACCACTTGTAAATGAACTCCCATTCCCTTGACTTTTTTTTATGAGCGCCAACACCTAAAGGACCACGAGTCGCTGGGTATGAACTTTCAGACGAGCAATCGTGTTAAACAGGCCACAGGCCGTTGGGTACATACTCCATATGGACAACTGGGCTAAAGACTAACGGGCCGCTAGGAATGAACGTCTAGACGGACACCTTGACAAACGAGGTGGGCTAAAACTGGCTCTGATACCATGATAAATTTAGGATTGAGTGTGGATAACTGGATTGGGTAACAAGACACTCGGGTTGAACCACATTAAAAGATTGAATCCAATCGATTAGTTAGTTCAACTCAAGGGCTTATATACCGGTTTATTTTCTCTTCAAGTTCCGATGTGGGATACTCTTTAACACGGTGGTCTTGGGTTAAAAACGTACGTATGGAAGTTCTTGAGCTGTCTTGGCATCGTAGACACAAGGGCTTCAACCCGCCCAGAGTGAATCTCCTTTGGATTTTTTAGAGCTGGCCCTTTTATAGCATCGCTTGGGGTGCCATGACTCATAGGTATATGAATTGCCTTAGCCATCATAGGTAAGAGAAGTGATTTGGATAAATGAATATGAATATCGTAGGGGGTTCCGAGTATTAAATATTACTATACCTGTATACCGTATGATTGTTGCCCGGCATGTTGTGTGCATGATATCATGTGATAATTGTGAATTAGTGGATTAGCCTATGTGTATGTTCGAACTGTTAGATAATTCTCACTCAGCTTCATTGCTGAGCGTGTAGCCTTTCTTTTTCCCATTGTTACACGTAGGTGGTTGTGGAAGATTGATTCAGAATCCATCCCGGAGAGCAGCATGACGGAGGAGATGAACAGATGCAAGAATTTAATGTTTGATTAAAATATAAAGCTTCCGAACTGTTTGTATAAACTCTGATATGTATTTGAATAGTTTTAAGTTGTTTGAGTTTTAAACTAAATGTTCTAATTTATTAGAAAATATTGTATGTATATGCCAGTTTAGTAACAACCCGGTTTGCTAACCTAATTATTCGGATTATGTGGGTTGGGGTGTTACAACAACAACAACAATAATAATAATAATAATAATAATAATAATAATAATAATAATATCACTATTGTAAATTTTATATATATAACCAAGAGGCAAAACTATTGCTTGTCCTCCAACAACATAAGCAAGCAATTGCTTGGAAGCTAAAGGACATCCAAGGAATAAGCCTAGTCAATTGCAATCATAAGATTGCCATTGAAGATGGATTTAAGCCAATTGTCCAAGCACAACAAAGACTCAATCCAAAATTGATGGAGGTTGTGATATATCCCCGGGTACTACAAGTGATCCTCAAATCCTTAAACAAATTAGTGGAATCATAAAAAGGGACGTATAACATTCACCAAAACCAAACCAAAACCCAAAATCAAACCCCTAAACCTTAGCCTCATTTTCCTTCCCCTTGGCCGAAACTACCCTACCCCATGGCCCTACTTGATTCACTTCATTAACATCACACATTATGTGCCAAAAACCATATCAAACCATAAGCCATCCCCCCTTTCATTTCCCTAAGTTAAAGCCGAAACACACCAAGACAAACACCCACATTCATTCACCCAACATCCAACCAACATTGTCCCCCTCATGTCCCCTAATACAGCCGAATAAACAAGCACAATAAGCCAAGAAACATTTGTGATTGCTTTGACAATTGAACCACCATACAAATCACCAAATAAAGTCCATCTTTCACATACCCTATTGTTCCCCACTAAGGACGATTGACTCACCACCCTAACCACCAAATATTCACCACAATAACAAGCCAAAATACCCACACATCACCCATCCCTTTTGCCCCCTACAATATGGCCGAAAATCCCCATCATTCAAGGATATTCATTCATGATCTTTGGCCCCATTTATTGAAAACCTTTAGCCAAAACATCACACCCAAAATCCCTGATTTTATTCCAATGAAAGGACTCAAAACATGGCTGCATTTTCAAGGATTTTTGGAAGAAGTAGCTTGGTAGTTTCCTATGTATGTGTGTGTCTTTAAATTTCGGCCATAGGCTTTTTGTAATGGACATCATATTTTCTCATTTTCTAGTAGTAATGCACTTGTTGTATTCTATTTTAAATCCTAATTTCTATATCTTAAGGTTGGTTACCTTAAGTGTGAGTGTTAGGTTCTAGATATTTAATTGATTGTGTAATATCTTAATTGAATTCTAGACTCAAATCCCAAGTGAGGATAAGCGTGTGTTATATCTCTTAAAACCAACTTGGTTTTATCCTTTCCCCTTATTCTTCCTCTTTCTTTCTCGGCCCCTTTACAAACATCTTCAAACAACCCCTTTTTCTTCCCTATTCATACACCTTAAACCATCTCAAAATACCCCCTCCTTTCCCCTCCTTTATTTCGGCCAACCCTTTCCCCTTTCAAACCTAAGCTAAGATATATCAGGTTGTCCACAAAGAAGTGCTAAGACTACAAGATGCAGGTATCATCTACCCTATCTTCGATAGTCATAGGTGTCACCTATTCATATGGTCCTAAAAAAGGGAGGTATGACAGTAACCAAAAATGGAAAGGGATAGTTAGTCCCAAGTAGGACTGTAACTAATTGGCGTATGGTCATTGACTACAAAAAACTTAATGATGCCACCAGGACCACTTCCCGCTCCCTTTTTCGACTACCTGATAGAGAGGCTAGCAGGCCACACCTATTTTTGCTTTTTATATGGCATGAGCGGGTACTTTCAGATCCACGTGAACTTAGAATACCAAGAAAAGACCATATTCACTTGTCCTTTTGGAACATTTTCCTTTCGGCGGATGTCTTTTAGACTCTATAACGCCCTTGCAACCTTTAAGCGATGTATGATAGCCATTTTTGACGAGTGTTTGGGCAATCTTGAGAAAGTTCTAATTAGATGTGAGGAAACCCATTTAGTCTTGAGTTGGGAGAAATGCCAATTCTTGGTTAAAGAGGGAACTGTGTTAGGACACAAGATTTTCAGTAACGGGGTATATGTTGACTGAACTAAAATTGAATATATTGAGAAGCTTCTCCCACCAAACTCAGTTAAGGCCATTCAGAATTTCTTGGGACACGCTGGTTTCTATCGTAGGTATTTTAAGGACTTTGCAAAAATAACAAAGCCATTGACTGCCCTGATTGAGAAAGGGGTGGAATTCAATTTAATTGATGAATGCCTACAAGCCTTCAACACATTGAAGGAAAAAATAATTACTGCCCCCGTTCTTATAGCCCCAGATTGGGCTGTTCCCTTTGAACTCATGTGCGAAGCTAGCAACCTAGTACTTGGGGTAATTTTTGGTCAAAGGAAGGATAATGCCTTCAACCCCATCTATTGTGCTAGTAAGACTTTATCAGGGGTGCAGCTTAACTTTATAACAAATGAAAAGGAATTCCTTGCTATTATGTATGCATTAGAAAAATTTAGGCCTTACATCATTCTTTCTCAAGTTATCGTTTACACTGACCATGCGGCACTACGATACTTGTTGCAAAAGAATGATGCAAATCCTAGGCTATTACCATCTCTCATGTCTAGACGTGGAGGTGGCAGAAACCTTTAGCAAATGCGAGGTTGATGAAGCTTTTCCATGTGAAAAGATCAGTACTATTCAACATAAGGAGCCATGGTATGTAGATATTGCAAACTACTTTGCAGGCAAGGTTGAACCCACCTTGTTGACACCTCATCCAACGAAGAAGCATAAGCGGAAGGCCCATTTAATTTCTACTTCTGGGACGACCCGTATCTCTTTCGAATTTGCGCAGATCAAGTCATTAGACTTTGTGTAAGCATTTTTAAAAAGGAAAAAATAGCAAACAAAAACAAACAGAGAAAATTAAAGTAGTGGAAACATTTTTAAAAAGGAAAAAATAAAAAAAGAGAACAGAATAAAGAAAATTAAAATAAAAAGGAAAGAAATAATAAAAAGTGAAAAACGAATAGAAAATAAATAAATAATTAAAAAAGGATCTAAAGAAAAAAAGAAGCAAAAGAAAAGATGAAAAAAAGTGAATAAGAAAAAAGAAAAGAAAGAAAAAGACAAAAAAATAAAAAAAATGTAGGGAAAAAGAAAGGAGAGAAAGAAAGGGGAGGGAGTTGAAAAAGAAAAGAATATAAATTATGGGAGTGTAAAGAGAAGAAAAGAAGAAATGGGGTCAATGTGAAGTAATTATTTTTTCATTATTTTGTCTTATATTATTTTGTCTTATATTTTTGTTTGCTTTCGACTTTTTTTGTTGGTTATTTTTATATAATTATTTTTTAATAAAAATGAAGTAAGAGTTTCTAAAAAAATTGTTTTTGTTTAAACTTTCTCTCATCTTATTTTTTTTGCCTTTTTTATGTATTTCTTTATACCTATTTTATTCACCTATTCTATTTAATTGTTTACAATAAAGATTAAAAATAGACAAAAAAATTAACTTAAAAATAAAAAAACAAAGAAATTAATATGTACGGTTTGATTTTTTCGTTTAATTAAACTGATTAAATATAACACAATTAAAAGAAAAGATAAATAATAAAGATAAAGGAAAAAATAACGAAAGGGATAAATAAAGAAAAAAAGAAAGAAAAACAAAAAAGAAAACAAAACAAAGATAACAAGTAAGAAATGAGAAAAGGCCTAAAAAAATTAAAAATTAAAAATATTTCAAAAAGGAAGTAAAGAAAAACATATCAAATGGAAAAAAGTACAGAAAACAATGAAAAAATTTTTAAAAAGGAAAAAATAAAAAAAGAAGACAAGATGAAGAAAATTAAAGTAAAAAGGAAAGAGATGATAAAAACTGAAAATGAAAAAAAAAGAGTTAAAAAAGGATCAAAGGGAAAAAGGAAAAGACAAGATGGAAAGAATAACGAATAAGAAAAAAAGAAAAGAAAGAAAAAAACAAAAAATAAAAGAAAAGATGGGAAGAAGAAAGAGAGAGAAAAAGGAGTGAGTTGAAAAAGAAAAGAATACCCTGAGGAGAAGAGAAGAAATGAGGTAAATAAACTTTTAGTCAAAAACGATAAAAATTCAAATATTTTTATAAAAAGTTTTAAAATTCAAGTAGCAAATCCAAATTTTTTGAAGGTGAATAGTCTGATAGTCTGAAATTTACCCGAAGTGTGGGACATTCGGTTGTACGGAACAATACAATTTGACACAAGGGGTTTCATTAGATCATTACCGCCTCAAGGTGGAGCATCCCCGCATGTTTACCTATCAGTTTTCAGAAAAGAGTTCGATGGAGGAAGGAGAAGAGTATTCACTGCAAAAGAACTTGACATGGAAAACATCACCGTCTTCATCACTCATATCCGAATCGAATTCATTCCTGTCATCAACACTGGGTAGGGTTATGAACACACTGCTCACCGCCAAGCCCAAAAAGCTCCAAGACGCAATTTCTCGTCTACAGCCCTCTCAAAAAACCGCACCAACCAGAGGTTTATATGTATGCATGCTCGGTGTAGTATAGTGTAATGTAATCCTACATATTATGACTTTTTGCAATGTATTCCTGTCCTCAGTTTCTTTGGAACAGTCACTTTGGTTCCTTCACAAGTACGCTGTGGATTCCCGGGAGAAAGAGGACCGTTTGGACCAAGTTTTTATTCCCATGATTGAACATGTATGGCCGGTACTGAATCTCGTTTATGTTCTTTATATAACTCAGTTGGTCTCAGTTTGAATATGATTGGGCCTTGTATCTATTTTATGAAAATTGGATTGCTCTTTTCCATTACAAAGAAACTCATACATTGTTCATGAAGCTATTACGTTTGAGAAGATGTAGTTGTTAGTGAAGCACAGTTGAATTTGCCAGTGTATTAATCAGGGAAAACCTTGTTAGTATAGATGCAATCCCCTTTTCTCTAAGTTACAACTAAGGAAAATATGCACAAATCACTAAATTGCAGTTATAAGCTTTTAGAAGGACTCAATTTTCCCAGCCTCCCTGTAATCACTTAACTTGCATTTCTTTGACACCTTCAAGGTTCAATTAGATATGAAACCACAGTTATTTCTTGGTTTTGATAGGAAATGGAGCATGTTGCTACTCCCTCCATCCCATATCTTATTTCCCGTATTTACTTGACACGGGTTTTAATGTTGAATGAAATGTGCTTTGACTTTCCCAAATGTCGCCTGCCTCCATCACCCACGGCAGTCACCCCCATGGTCGGCATAATTGAAGAGAGATTCTTTTTTCCTTTCTTCCCGTCTCCCTCTCGAAAATATGAGATCTAAAGATCTCTGACTTTTTAAAATTTCAAATATGGCCGCCTCCATCACTAGTTTCTGGTTGCCTCCATCAACTGCCGGCAGTCGCCTCTATCAACAAATTAAATCCATCCACATTCATGAAGGAGGAGTTAGGAAGAAGGATGAATTGGGGGAGCGGGGGTTTGCCAA